GCATCAGTAAAATGAACTCATCACAACAAGTATTTATTGATTTCGTTAAATCAACTAGTAAGAAAGTTATAGAATAAGAAAGATTGCATATACAATCAACCATTTATTTCTGAAAAGGTTTGAAGAAAAGGTTTTTGTTTTAAATGAGCATCGTAATCAAAATTGACCATGATCGAGATTTATGAATTCTAAATTCTCTTACCTTATGTTATATTTTCAACATATTAAGTTATGATAATCATCAGTTTATTTAGAGTTTAACATGTATGAAGAGTTTTCGGAATTGGTTTTTGTTTAGGTTTCTCTAAAATGTAGAATTTAGAAGTATCTATATTCTTCAATTTGATCTGAAAAAACCTTATTTACAAAAATAAAATAAGTTTCCGAACCTACTGACGGATTCAAATTTTCCAGTTCGTACTTAATCCAACAAGGTTAGATTACATCTTAGTCAGATTTAAACTAGATTCTAACTTTTTCGAATGTATGATAAGAAATTTATTTTGAAATATTTTTAATAGTTAATGATTAATTCTTTTTTTTTTTGTTTTTATAAAATCTTTCTTTACTACATGGTTTTTAGAACATATTTTACTATATTCTATTCTCTATAAAGACAAAACTTCTAGATCATTATTTATTTTTTCATAAGATTTCTTGATTAATTAACTATATAGAAAAATACAAACATCTACTAGCGTCATCTCTCTTTGTTTTCAGCCTCGCTATGATATATTTCCAAAGTACAATATAACAGAAACAGAGACATTCAACAATAAAGGACGACTAGTTCTATCTATTATTTTCATAATCATCTTAAATTCTTTTCAATTTAACAGAAAAAAAAAACAAATGAGTGTTCGGCAACGCTTAGCAGCTAAACGTAAAAATTCTCAAAATATGACATTATCTGTCGAAAATGAATCGAATTCAACTAATCAATCAAATCCAACATCATCATCATCATCAAAACGTCAAAAAATAGTAACTGAAAAACGACTTCGTCGATATCGTGCATCAATGACTATCGGTATATATGATCGTATTGAACGTGCTTTACATCAACGACTTTATTTATTAGCTGTAACAAAATCATCAAATGAACCAACTTATCGAGAATATAAAGTACTCGGACAAACAGCTAATGTTTATACAATTATAATTACTCATATACCATCATGTACATGTAAGTTTTGAAATATTTCAATTATTATTTATTAAACAAAAAAAAATTTTGTTTCTTGTTAAATTTATATTTCAAAGGTCCAGATTATGCAAAAGGTCATTTATGTAAACATATTATATTTGTTTTACATCGTGTACTTAAAGTTGATCGTAATTCTCCATTACTTTATCAACAAGCATTACTTACAAATGAATTAAATGAAATTTTTGCAAAAGCTGATTTACAACATAATGATTCACATATTCTTGCTGAACAATCGGTTAGGAAAAAATAAAAAATTATTAAATTTAATTACTTTTATTTTTCTTTTCATTTTATAGATTCGTGAAGCTTATCATGCTAAAACAGGTGATCCAAATGTTATTTTAAATTCTAAAAAAATTCAACAAAAAATCATTACAAATGATGATGAATGTCCAATTTGTTTTGAATCTATGATAAATGATAAGAATAATATTTTATTTTGTTCAACATCATGTGGAAATAATATGCATAAAAAATGTTTTGAACAATGGCGTCAAGCTAAATTATCAATGAATGAATTAGTTACTTGTCCATTTTGTCGAATTGAATGGAAAACTATTATAAAAAGAAATAAGAATCAAAATGATTTTCTTAATTTAGCTGCTTATGCAACAACACATGATTATGATGAAGAAGATGATGATTGGATGTTTTTTAATTATTATTAATAATTAACATTGTTCTCTTGTTAATAAATTGATCTATATATGTTTGTTTTCATTGAACTTTATTTAATCATGATGTTCTTTGTTTTATGATGAAACGTTCCTATGTTTTCCTTTTTCTTTCCAAATTATTTATTTATTATTTTTTTTATGCAAGATGAAGGAAAATAAAAAAAACAAATATAGATGTAGAAATAAAATTTTTCACAAAAAATATATTCAATTTATAGTATTTGAAATCCTTATTTAACTAGAAAAGCTAAGAAAAATAGATTGAATTTAGATGTAAATATTATTCTCAGATATTTTGGAGGAAGCAAGCTACATTCAGATTACGGATACTTTTTCAGCCAATTACGGAAAAATATCTGCAAAGAAAAAACGGAGGCAAGATAAAATTTATTTTGTGAAAAAAGTACAACAAAAATCATTAATGAAATATATAAGAATATCGAACGTTTTTTAGGTTTAGAGTAGAAATGAGTGTGATTGAAGAGAAGACTGACATTCACGCCCTTATATTCATTCTTGAATCAAACTACTTACATTGATCCTCTTACTATATCTATTTTCGCATGTTTCCGTAATGCAGCAATTTTTGTTCTCCTATCATTCCGCATTGCAGACATTTTTTCCTTCAATTAAAGAAAAGTTTCCGTAATTAAGAAGACACACTGAAGCAAGTGTGTTATAATCCAATTGAATATTCATTGATCGTGCTTTTCATTTATCGAACGAGGGAACTTTCTCAGTTGTTCAATAGGTTTTGACTGAGAACTATTGCTATTCGATCGAACATTATGAGTAGTGAAACAGTTTGTTTTGATCGTAGATTTATATGATTAGTGTAAGAGTAGATGTCCACAATACAAAAATTCAATAGAAAGATATAAAACGTTTATAGACCGTCTGAATTTTTTAATACATTCTTTAATAAGTTATTCAATGTTACATCGATTGCATTGGCTAGTTCATGTTATGAGTTTTAGATTTTTTGTTCAACTTTTTGCGTTTTTAATAAGATTCCATACTAGCAAAGTAGTGTTAAAATAAGGACTATAATCAGGTCATTGACATAATTCAATATTCTATGCTTAAATAGAAAATCCGATCGATGAAGCATGAAGAGATCTATTAACAAATATAATTCAAGAATGTATTTTTAAAAAATTTAAACGTTCTATCAATACTTTGTATCTTCCTATTGAATTATTATTTCTATTATAAACATCTACTCTTATACTACTCAAACTATATCTACATAAATTTGTTCTAAAAACAAACTCTATATAATATATCAATAATACGATTTGCAAGCATTTGGTTGTTGATAGATAGACCTTATCGTTATTAGGAACTTTCCAAAGTTTATGTCCCAACAAATGCATCTCTAAAATTCTTCATATTTTAGAAAAATCTTTTGTTTTTGTTTGAAGAGTTTCTAGTTACTATAAGATCTATTTATAAATAAAATTTCAGCGCAGAATTCAATCATCTAAGTTCTCAGCAATTCTATGCTCATAGGGCAAAAATTGAAGTAAAATACCTATAACTCGGCAAGTGAAGACTGAAAAACCAGACTAGAATAGTCTTTTTCACTACTCATCATGACTAATCGAATAGCAATAGTTTCAATACAACAAAAAAAAAGATTTATTTATTTTATTCACAAGAAAGTTTTAATTTTTGAAAACAATAAGAAAAAGAAGAAAATGTTTTTTTCTTTGTACATATTATTCTCATCTGATTATCATCATAAATTTTGTAAGAAAATTCGTTGGATCAACGTGAGATCCTAAATCAACAGATTCTATTCTCAACACATTTGATTATATACGTCCGTACAGAACAAAAACAAGTAATTTTCTCATCATTGATAACTATAACCAGATGTAATGTTCTCACACACCTGTTGTAACTTGGAGACAATAATATTCATTACTCATTTTCGTTCTTTAATAATGCTATTACAATACGGAATTAGAGTATAAGCACATATGACCAGTCATTTCGACATTAGAATTCAATGTCAAGTGAACATGAATCAAAACCGTTGTGAAATACAATCTACAAGGAATGTTGAAGTATAGGGATAGAAATTCGAACCTACTCCTCTATTTCCACAGACGCGACAGACGTTGCTGATATACAGTCAAAGACCATATATCAATAACATGTCATGATAATATATGAACTATGTTCTTATTGTATTTCGAAAGAATTAAATAGAAGGATAGTGAAGACAGTCATGTTAATTGAATGCATTGATAAAAAAGAAGCTCTCAATTCAATTCGTAGATCGTTGCAAAATATCATGACTCAATTCATGAATTAATCATTTGTTAAATAGAGTTACTTAATTCGGATTTATTTTGCATTTATTCAAAGTGATTTCAGAATATTTTTGTTTGTTTATCATGCATCACCTGCATTCAATGTCTTCTTCTGAATAATGAAAGTCGTTTCTCTTTTGTTTTTCGAGCAAACCTATTTCAAACTTATGATTCGAATCAAACTTGTCAATTATCATACAGCTATTTGTATTATTTGTATAAACTGTCATATCCTATCCGACGCATTAAAGAGAGAAATAAGTTGAATATTTGTTTTTCATGATCATGACAATAACGATTTGTTTTTTTTTGCATTGTTAACATGACATAAGCAATCAGTTGTTTATTCGTTTAATACGATTAAACCCTTTATTACGAATATGATTTTATAATAATATCTGATTCTTACAAATTCTTCTTTCAATATCATATACTACCTGAGTTGTTGTAATATGAATGCTTTACGGATCATCGATTTATTTAATATCGCTTGGTCAAATAGGTAATTAATTTTTTTTTCTAAGTTGATATGAGACTTTATGAAAACGGATCCATAAATAAATTATAATCTATCATGATTAAAAGCAACGGATATCAAAATAATCTCTGTTTTATTTCGTAGAAATAACTTAATCATTTTTGTTTTTCATTGATAAGAAAAGAAAGTTAAATTTCTTGAAAGAATTTTTATTTATAAAAAAGAAAATTTCTAAAATAATTCATATGTTAATGTTAGCAAATAAATACATGAGTATCATAACAAGGACAAAAAAAATTTGATTTTTAAATACATTACGATTTATTAACAGCAAAACAATAAGTATATCTTCTATGTGTTGGAATCATAATCCCCTTATTGTAATAATATCGAATACTTCGTGAAAATTTCTCATAATTCAAATTACATCTTGTTTTCCGATTTTTAATTTTTCTCCAAAGTTCAACAACTTTAGTTGGTTTATGAATTTTAAATAAACCTTTGGCTTTATTTAACCAAGATGCATAGGAAATATAACGTAAATTATTAAGTAATAAATGAAGAAATTCATCTAATTTTGGAGGTCGTGATTTTCTTAATAATAAATCTCTGATACGCCATTCCATTGGATTAAAAGAAATTTCATTACTATTTCTTAATGAACTTGTTGAACATGCTTCAGAAGAATTGATAGAACGAATAGTTGAAAATGAACTTTTCATATTCATTTGATCAGTAGTAGATAATTCATTAAAAATTGTATGTTGTTCATTAAAAGTATCAAGATAGTCATCTAATTGATAAGAGTTATTTATGGAACCATCAATAATACAAGGATACTTAGGTGCTGCATCAATATATTTAAATAATGCATCCAATGTATCAATAATAGACGACGGCGACGATCTAGTGTGTATTTGATTGTCAAGCATTCTTTGTTTGTTTAAATCGTATGACAACGTTTAACATAAATATTTGTAAAGCCGTTATATACATGTATTGACTGACGAAGGAAAGTAAGACTCTATTGATTGATAATCGTGACTTTGATGTTACAGTAATTACGACTGAAACCTTTGTCACATTAAGAAACATATAAAAAGGATAACGACAATAAGAAAAAAGCTTAATATTTTATTACATTTAGGTTAACGTTTAATAGTGAATGTATTGGCAAATGACTACTGGACGTATTTATTAGGTTTATTTAGGACACTGTATATAATATTTAACGATAAATAATACAATCTAATTGAACTTAAATGAATTGAAAGCCAAATAGCATTACTTATTTCTTCTATCTTATCGATTCGATGTTCAAATCAGAGCTGCCATTAATTCGCTTCTTTTTGATCTGGTTCGAAATACCTCCAGATCAAACTAGGTCGATTATTGTTTATTTTTTTATGAATACGCTTAATTCTACAACAGTGCATTAAATCTATTATTCTAGTTTCAGTTGTTCAGCTTAATTTATTTTCATAAAAATAAGATAAGAACAAATTCTTGTATGAAATACCAAATTAAAACCAAGAGACAATAGAAAAATTGTTTACAAAAGTTTAAATTAACACAATAGTTTTGATCATATCAATTCTGTGTTGCAAAATCGAAAACATGCGATCATAATAGCACAAATAATATTTGGTTAGACTTACAAGGAAGAAGTAAAAGAATCTATAGGAAATCAGCAATACTTATAATAATAGGCAAGAAATACTTATTTACATTTGACACAATTAATTTTTGCAGAAACACAAGCACAAAATTTACCATTCAATCTTTTTTGGATGTCAGACAAGTTCTTCTATCAGTCAATGTATGTCCTATGATATTACATTGACGTTTGGTTTAAGTATTTATTATTGGATTCGAATGAATTTATCAAAATATTCTCAAATGGCAAAGCAATGCGTTAACATTTGATTTTCAAAATGTAGCAGCCAAGTCAACAACTTTGGTCTTTTAATCACACTGAATATTATATAGACGATTCAAGCCATGCTGGCAACTGTGATTGACATAATATACATATGATGAAATCTCTAAAAAATTCATCCAAATCTCCAAAGAAAACATTATCATCAATGAGTATGTCTATTTCCTCGTTTAACTATTCTAACAAACTTCTCTCGACGTCACCATTGAATCTTCTTATATCATCTGAAATATATGCTCACAACATAATTATATATATTAAATTTGTGATCATGTTTTTTTTTTATAGTTCTGAAATATGCCTTTTAACTATTCGTTGCTTTAATCGATTCATGTGAAATTCTTTTAGAGCGAGTCAATATAACAATACCATAACTCCGAAGCACACTGCCTCTCTGTTTAGAGCTGTAGTTCGATGAATAATAAGGGGTTGAGCGATCATTTTTAAAGCTTCTCAGTCATACACAAAAAAATCAGATATGTTTCTCTCAATTGTTAATGATTAGATGTAAGGAAAGTTTCGTTTTCATTGTGACTGAAAGCATCTCCTATACTTATATTCACGTTAGTATTTGTTCGATAGTTTCTTACTGTTGTATAAATTTCTAAAACAAAAACCAATAATTCTTCGATAGAATTTGCCATTTGATCTTTAAAAAGCTAATTATATATTTTTATTGATTCCTGATTAATTTTGCTCATATTTTATTTAAAAAAAAAATAATGCCAGTAAAGAGAATATCTGTTTTTTTACAATGAAGTATCATTGTGCAGAGTATTTAAAACAGAATGTGTATTTTTTATTTGTTTTAACCATTACTCCTGCATTATAATAATGTCGGATACCTCGTGCAAATGTTTCATAATTCATTTTTCGCTGTGTTTGTCTTCCTTTAACTTTTTCCCATAATATAACTACTTGATCTGGTTGAAGAATTCTAAATAAACCTCGGTTTTTATCTAACCAACATATATACGAACAATAACGTGGATTTTCTAAAAGAAGTTGAAGAAATTCATTTTGTCGTGGAGCTCGTTTTCTGCCAGCATGTAAATCATTTACTTGCCATTCCTTATCATCAAAAGGTATTTCATTATTATTGTTCGATGATTGTGCAAAATTATTGTTAGCAGCAATGAACCATGTATATAACGATAATGTAATATAATTAATATGATCATAGAAATCAACATATTTACCATTATATGAAGTTGTAGTAGTCAATGGATTATCAGAAGTTTTATGTATTGTTTCCAAATCTTTACACTCTCTTGATGTTGCATTTTCATCGTCTTTATAATTATTAGCCATAAAGAATAAATATTTCGTTTGTAGGCAATAAAAATGATGTTCTTAAGAAAAAAAAAAAACTATAATGCATTGTGTTTCGTATCATATGCGATTACGAAGTTTCTTTTCTCTCGACGATAAATATTCGGAAGTGACGCAATCTTTCGTATTAATCATACACCGCATGTGTTAAAAAAAGAAAAGAAAAACATACCGGTTTTGTTGAGTACTTATGATGTAAAATATGGATGCAATACTATTGCTGAAAACTTATCATAAGAAAATGTATTGATATATGTGTACTTTGTTTTTTTTTTTGTAAAAGAATGACAATATGATAATATTTAACTAGTTTTAAAACAGATTTTTTTTTCAAGATGATTATTTTCAAGAAAGTTCTTGTCAGCACAAATACAAAGATAGTAAACAATTTGTTTTTTGTTCTTTATAGAAGAAATACAAGCATTTTTATTTAGACATTGAACAATACAAAATTTGAAAAATATGGATGATATTGTTGCAATAATATGACAAAAAATTAAAATCAATCATTTTAAATGCATGAATAATATCAGGACTGGTCAAATCGTGAAGAAGGCCGAGGGTATCGCGGATGTGACACCCAGGCAGTTATGAAAGATTTTGGTTTTTACCATTAGCGAAGTCGAAAATTTTTCTTCCGTTCTCTTTGTAAATAAATAGTAACATCTTCCACTTATGTTAGCTTTCTTGGGCCAACGTTGAATAATATTCACAAACAATTTGTATTATTTGGTATTCGAAAAAATAAACACAATTTTTAATTTAATTTTCAAGCTCATAGAAATACTGATGATGAAAATTTATCAAATATTTATTATTTCGTATAAGTTTTTGGAATTTTTTTTGAGGAAACAGAAATTAAAAAAATAGAATGAAATTATTTTAAATATATTCTGATTCAAAATACCTTTACTCTGAATATCCTATATTTTGTACTTATGTATAAAATAAACCAATATTTACAGTGAAATTATTTTTAAAGAGTACTGAAGTATATCAGATATCACGATTTTTGTCCATATTAGCAGTTCGTCTTTGAGTTGCATATGGGGGTTGAAAGCTCAAAGTTTATACTTTCGAATACACTATGGTGTACTTGTTTTACAAGTGTATCTGTGAATTTTATAAAAGTTTTCCTGAAAAACTCATAAAAATTTTGCGAAACTCATTCGACGAAATTCTTTAAGCTTTAGTAGAGGTTTGTAATATGAAAAATATGACTTGCATGTATCGAAAAATGTGTCCTACACCCTCTCGTACATTTTCTGAATCAATTACTTTATAGTGTTTTACCTAAAAAATTTGTGAACAGTTACCAGAGAGTACTTACTGTTGTCTAGTTTCAATTCGAAGTGCCTTGCAATCACTTTGCATCTCTCAGTTAAAAGTTAATCTAGGTTTTTAGGAATAGTTGTAATAATCTCATTTGAAGAATAGTAACTTACAACGCACAAGTATCCGCATAAAAATATCTGAAGCTATTGAGCACTAAAGATTAATTACGAAATTCCAATTAATATATCTTCTGACAATAGTAAAGTGATCTATTCCAAACGATGTATAGCTCTCTTATTGATAATTATAATTAAGACTGATGCGACGAAAACATGAAGAGTTTGTGAAATCACATAGTTGTAATTGTTCGTGTTAATTATGTGAATTCGGTCGTGAAAGCCAGTAGTTCTCACTTTGATGTGGCAAGTTCTGACGAAAATAGGTATGTTGAAATTATGTTAAGAAAAATGTTGCATAACTATCAATTTAGCAAGAAAATGCTTCAACAATAGCCTCATGCAAGGTTAAAATTCTATATGAGCAATTATATCTATATGTGTCATTCAGATCTATAATGATTCCATTAACTTGTCGAAAAGATGCATAGTAGAATCTTGATTCTATCAGATATTTTTCTCAATTAATTGAGATCTATATTTTGTGAAACTTTGAGAAAGTTTACTTGAGTCGATGTTGAACAACGCTTGAATTACGACTGAAAAATCATCGCCGGGAACCACAAGAGAATGTTTAGTTACCGAATTGGTTCTAATTAATGCTAAGTGAAGAGTTTCATATGCCAGAAGATAGAGCAAGTGATGCTCTACAAAACTGACAAAGTCATAACTTATCCAAATTCGGAAGAAATTTATTAGTTTGAGATCCAGGTTGTCAATGGGTGCTTGCAATGTTATCCTTATATCAGCTGATAAGCTGCTGGTCATCAATGAAGAACTACTGTTAGCATCGACTACTGGTAGTACCCAAAAGAGAAAACTTATCGTATGTTTTATTTAGAAAGGCAGTCTCTTATTGTGTCCAGAGTTACTTTTTAAAACTAAAAATCAGTTTTATAACGATAGAAAATATAACATGCCCGGCAGACGAACATTATCAGATATGGTCGTGAATGGTGATGAAATGACATAGTAGGAGACAGATGTTGAGGAAAGAATATTAGTACGAGTACCGAATCGATTCATTTGATTGTGAGCGACGTAAGTCGTCGAACACATACTTGTAATTGATTGCACTCCTAGACCGAGTGGCATTGAGATTCGACTAGCAGATACAATGTACGCACGACCTATGGATTTTTGTGATTGTAATGGCTGAATGTTTTGCTTGCCGAGCGGAGCTGATATGTATAAATCACCGTTGGGTTTCCATTGAATTGTTGTGCCAAGACGTCCAAAGATCTTATCACCACTAATTGAGACACGTACAGGGATGTCACTCAGTTGAAGATGAATGTTTGATTGACCGAAAAGATTGGACAGTAAAATAACATCAACACCACCGTACCAGTTGGTTAAACGGGTTGGCGATCCAACAGCCAGCCAACATCCGTCTTTATAAATCGAAAAACTCTGTCCAAAATGACCCTTGTCTTGCGTGCCAGAGAGAGTAAGGATGAGATAGATTTCAGGTTCAAACGAGTATACGAACAGTTTACCCTTGTCGGCCGGTGCACTGATCATGAGAGTTGGATAGGCTACATTGCTGATGCACGACGGCGGAATTATTTCAAGTGAATAACCAAATTTTGATTTCGCTGTTTCACCATAAATGGTGAACGATGCATTGGCAACAGTGAGATTATTACTCGACATTTGAGGATCAGAGCTCTTGAAGATCCAGACAGCTCCTTGTTGTGGCTGATTATAACCGTTCGGTTGAGCGTATGGACTAGTAATGATCAAATCAAGTCGATTATCATTATCGAGATGTGCCGTATATAGTCCAAATCCAATTGAGTCATGTTCATTCACTCCATCAATACGCATATATGGTTGAAGTTGAAGGCCGTCTGCACTACCGGCAAACACAAATACTGCTCCACGAAAGCCGAATCCGTGTGATGGACTGCTAACGACCAGATCGTTAAATCCGTCGTTGTTCAAATTAAGGCTAGCCAATGCTGAACCGAATCGATCGCCATCACATACGGGCGAAATAAGTGTTTGATTGGCAAGTCCTTCAATAATCGAAATTTGACGGTCGGGTATGAGAAAACGATTCTCTTGACCATATATAATGAACACTCGACCACCTTGTACACATCCGAGTACATAATAATCGGGTGCTGACACGACAAGATCGGTACGTCCATCACCGTTAAAATCACCAAAGAGGGTTGCATGACCAAATGCGGCATAACTTTGATTTGAAATGAGCCCAGTCAGAATTTCGGTGGTGCCCAATGGCGGCAATAATGATAAAGTGTTGTCTGAAAAAGGTAAATAACCTGAAGGTGCTGATTGAATGTATGATGTTAATTCTTGCTGTTGTTGATGTGTAACAGTGTGAGGAATGGTACAGTTCAGATAATATGGATTAATGCCGGTCAATGTACAAATATTTGTTCCATTTTCATACATTGCAATAATCTGATCCCAATATCGAACCGCTAGCTGAGCCATATTTGGTAAACTACCATAGTAGTATTCGTGCAGTTGATCGAGTAGAAAACTATTATTGGATGAGTATGTGGGATATAGAAGACCGAGAAGAAGAGCATCAGCAAATCGTCCGCCGAAAATAATACTAGAACAGGTTTGAATACGCATCTCAGTAGCATTATTTTCCAGTGGTGAGTTATAGGCATCAGCATATCGCGCATAGATCTCTTCAAGTTCGTGGCTTGGAACAAACCACTAGTCGATAAGCCCTATGAACCATAGAAAGATCATTTTTAGAAAAAAAAAATTAGTTTTTCGGCCTTTTACCGATATAACCGACCGGTAATTCGTAATTAATAACACTATCTCCACCTGTATCATCACTTGAATGTGCCATTTCTCGATTGCTATTAAAACTCTCCCAGGCTGTTGCATCGATAAATCCATTCGGACAGCCTGTTAAATTTGCATGCCACGCAGCATCAGCCACTTGATGGCAAGCCACACCAAATAGAAATACAAGTAACTTTTGTCCAAGTTCATCGTCGCGTAGTCCTGATAATGGATGTTTATCACGCATGTATTCAATGGCGATTTTCATAAATGGATACCTGAAATTGTGAACAAGATGATAACTATTATGAAAACGAAATGATCAATTCTCCGTACCAATGGGTATCTTCAGACACTTGATTTAAAGTACCGTTATAACATAAACTATTATACATAGAATCAGGATATGGAGATCCTCCTTGCAATGCATCTGGATGTTGGAGAATATATTGTTGATAAACAGGCTGATGTAGCCAAAGCTCTTGAGCACGATGTGAAATTTCGATGTGTGTTGTGATACCACATCCGAACACCACGAGAGGCAATGAGAGAACCAAAAAGATGAAATCGATCAGCATCCTATTGTTTCACACTAAATTTTTTCTTGATACGTTTCACAAAAGTGCTTTTTATAACAATGAGTTGATGATTAATATTAACCCCTATGTAAAAAGTCTTCGTACAACATTTCTACGTTATTTTCGTTCGCTTATAGATTACAGGAGATAATCAAAAATAGTCAGCTAGAATATGAATTTCAAGCTTTTTCTAAACATCTATTCAGAATTCTTTTCTGACTTGAAGTTGATTCATTAAGAGCAAATATTTGATGAGGAACAAAAACGATGTTTGTATAAATCACTAGTGTCAAAGGTCTTGGTAAATATGTTTGCTGACTTTTTGAACACATAAATGTAGTTGAAGAGAATCAAAAGGAACCGCTTAGAATCAGAATTTGACGCTCTTTCTAAATACATCTCTACACTGAAAATCTTTTTTAATTTCTATTCTGTAGAAAATTGATTTTAAATAAGCTAAAGTATTTTAAAACTTTTATTATTCATTCGTTGAATTTAAAATATTCTCAAAATATGCTTGATTTTCTAAACAATAAAAATTCAATTTGATTTTCTAAAAAAAATGATTTTTAAAGAAATTAGAAAATCCATATAAATTCTAGACAAAGTCAAAAATGAAGACAACTTTTTGGAAAATCATTGCAACAATGACTACTATAGAGTTATTTTTCGTTTATGTATATAAGTCAGCCGACAGTGTTATGCCTTCATTATTTTTCCAGCAACTGTAATGAGTTGATGAATATTATATTTTTGTATGGACGAATAGATAATATTTATTTATTTAATTTATTCAATACATTTATCTGAATTCAATGTCTATGAATCTATTAAAAATAAAATTAAAATTAATTATTTATTTTACTTGATACATTAATGAAATCAATGTTTGCATTTATTAAAATTGAAATTAAAGTTAAACTATTTATTTTCTTTGGTGCATTAATGAAATTCAATATTTATGAATTTATTTAAATTAAAATTATCTATTGATTTATTTATTTTATTCGGTACATTCATGTGAATTTAATGTTTAGGAATTTTGATTAAAATTAAAATTAGCTATTTATTTTATTTGATGTATTAATGAAATTCAACATTTATGGATTTATTTAAATTGAAATTGAAATTAAAATTAAATTATTTATTTTATAAAATAAATAAAAGAAACTTAATTATGAAATAAAAATGAAAATGAAATTCAAAATTGAATTTCAAATTTCTAGAAAATGTTCAAATTGATAAACAGAATTCGAAATTCTAGGAATGTCCATATGAATTCACTTTTGATTTTCTAATTAAAACTTCATCGATGAATTCATATGGGCATTCCTGGAATATCCTTCATTAAACTGTATAACTTATTTTCTCGTTTACAGTGCATGAAATATTCTGTACAAACATAATTTTTGGTCGTCATCAAATATTTACTCCTAATGAATCGATGTCAAGTCAGAAAAGAATTCTGAATATATATGTTTAGAAAGAGCATAAAACTCTCATTCTAGCTGACTACTTTTGATTATTTCCTGCAACTTATAAGTGGCCGAAAATCAAACGGTACGTTCGAAATATTAGTTATCATATATATTATCATATACTATATTTAATAAATAAAGGAAGAGATAATTATTTTTAAATGGAACTGTTCGCTTCGAAAGAGTTAATCTAAGCACATTCTTCGCTAAATACCCACTTAAAGAGAACACGTTCCACTTTTCGAATGATAAAAGAATACAATACAGAATGGTTGCATTTCTACGATAGCACTCACAAGAAGGCTTGACAATTCACGTTACAGATGCTTTGTGAGAAAATGGATTTACAGCAGCTAAACTCTGCTGTTCATTTTGAAAAGAATTTCAGAAAGTTTTCTCTGCGAGAAAAAAATGACAATAACACGAAAATAACACTATAGACGATTAGTCGTTCTACTTGACGACCGCAAAATTCGCTCGATACTCCTGACCTCAAAGACTCTCTGAAGAGACTGCATTTTTGAAAGACATACACTTACTGGTTGAACTCGTACGAAATATTATGTATCCACCACCAGAATAGCTGTGTAGTATAATGACGTTGTTCTACGAGTGAGAATCATGCACCGTATTACCTATATATATACGTCGCAAAATAAATCCAATTTTTGAGTATAAACATCTATATATAGATTAATACAACATGATTTATTTATCATATACTGCATTTCTTTCATACAAATATTACCCTCGTTTTGCTTACTCTGTCTCCCGTCGTTCATATAGATAAATCGACGGTGATGAAGAGTCAGTTGAATGTTCGCCAGAATGTGCACTATACGAACTAATAAGTAATTTTTATTTTGCATTCAATGCACAGAACAGACAAAAATATGATAATTTCGCTGGCCACTGTTTCTCGATCAAAAAGCATAATTTTAGTCAAACTCAATCTCATACAACATTGTCACAAGTAACGGAGGCTATCAGTTTTACATCTACAACTACAAGCACATCCTTCTGTTTGTGAAGAATCTAACAGATAATCTATTATCACTTTACAAACATATACTCTTATTGTCTTTTCTACGGTTAAATAGTTCCAGAAACTAGGAAACACGTTTTCGTAAGGATAGACCTTAAGAGCTATTCCTAAAGAACGTTTAGATAAAAGCTATACTTTTCATACCATCATCGTGTTCAGTTTGACTGAAATTCTATCTCCTTGTTGACCGACTGAAAAACATTTTTGAAGAATATTGTATTTATTTAAGTATAATACTTCCATTATATTCAACAAAAGATCATCAACAAATTATATCAGAACTGGAAATGAAATATGTATGTGTGTTTTGAGAAAAAAAGCCAGATATCTTAAAACACAAGCTAAAGTAAGACCTATCAGAAGGTTTTTAATTTTTTTTAAATAGCTATAGTTTGAATTGATTGTGGAATTTTGGACCGATTGACACTGGCTCTCATTCTGAATTATTGATGGTGCGAATTGAGAATTCTATAAACTACAATGTAAGTGTTGCCGATCACGTTTTCTTCTGTGGCATTTGTTACTCATTAAAATATCATATTTTGAAAAACTTGCTTTTTCAGTCTGAAAAGCCACTTAATCAAAAGGAAACATATCTGAACCTTATACCTATCCTCATAGACTAGTTCACAGCACTTCTTTTCATAGAAGCAAGAGGAATGGCGTTCAGAATATATCATGTGAAGGTTAAAATTAAAAATTCCTCAATACTCTTTTGTCATTTCATAACATCAATACTCTATACATATGGAAAAGAACGTACTGCATCATCATATAGTTTTTTTTCTTTTTCATTCCTTATCTAACAATGTATTATCGTTATGCGTTTGATTGATACAATTTGCATTTTTTTTGACAGTTCGAATGATTGTTTATCTCATTATCTGATCATTCTAAACTGTCATTGACGAAAAAAGAAATGATATACGTTACAAGGACAAATCATCTATTAATAAAAATAAGACGCTTGTTTTGCATCGAAGATTGTTATATGCAGGCCTACAGAGATTTTTTTTTAGAATTTACTAGATTTTCTTGAAAAATGTCTGTTTTTTTTCCCATATCATATCTTCTAAAAATATAATATTGTTGATCAGATTAATTGGAAGAATTGAGTCTTAAAATTACCCTTTGAAAAATGTCTGTTCAAAAACGTCCCTAACTTGTCGTCCTCATAAATAATTATTCATGCATAACTGTTCTTGGTAAAAATGTCTCTGAACAACGATAAAGCATACTTTATATAATTTATCTTTATACATACTTATGGTTTAAATTTTGATTTTTAAAATTAGACTATAAAGAAGAATAAATAGAAGAGTGATTGATTTTTTTTTCATTTGTCTTCTTTCATAGTATAAGATTTAAGACAAAGAATATTTTTAATAGATTGTAATCGATAAATATAAATGAAGATCGTTTTAAAGTACATTTATGAAATTCTCAGATAAAAATGAAAACGAATAATTCTTTTTCGATAAAGTTATTTTCATGATACAAAATCAAAGTAATTCTTCTATTATTCAAACAAAGTGTTGTATTATACATTTTTTTTCAAGTATGAACTAAGTAACCGATCTTATTCTTCATAGTAATTATGAATATACCAATGAAACATCTTTGAAGACTTATACTAGAAATGTGTATACGCATATATCATGATTTTCTTCGAAAATTAAAAGCATTTAACAATGATGACATCATCTGTGGATGAATATCCACCTTTGTCACTTGATAACCTACTACCAACTATTTGTGTCTCTTCGACTCTCATTGTATTATGTATTAATGTTCTCGCAATATGGTGAGTTGATACTGTACTTTGTTGTTGCTTGAATTTAAGAAAAAGTATCGACGATGAAATCATGTTCATATGAATATGAATGTACTAGATGATAACTACTTAAAAGAGCGAATACAGCATGATAGTTTTTATCTTTGTCAAACGATTAGAAATAGATAGTTGTTCGTGTTTTCCTATTATTCCAAATTGCTTTATAATTAGTTATTAACTACTAAACTAGAATCAGTTAATTGAACAAGTACAAAAAACAATTAGTTTGTTGATTGTTACGATAAATAATACAAAAGGTTATCTAGTAGTTTCTCAATAATTAACTTTTGACTTTTATTGAGTACCAAACACAAGCAATTTCCCATAAAATATCAAGTAATAATTGTAGAATTTATTAATGTTATATATTCATCTTCCATTTGCTCACAGCAACTCCAATATGAGCGTCATTTGCAGAGAATAAAGAATATCACATAGAATTGGCTAGATTGAAAAATACACTAGGATGAAAGATGACATTTTTAAAATAAATTACACTACTTTAGACCGCATCGATGAAAATATTTTCAAGAAGAAGCCTTTTCTCTGGTAATTATAATATCTGCATAATAATGATAATTGCACTCCAGAAATAAGAACTATTCTATTTAACAATATTAAGAATATTTCATGCAGATTCAGAATTCTAATTGAGTTTAGGATTTCGAAATCTGTTCAAATCTCATGAAATTCTCAATTTGATCGTTTCTATTTTGAATCGAACGTCTAAATATCTAAATTATTATTTTTCATATGCAAAAAGTTTCGAATTGTCGATTATTAGTTTTCACAATCAATTTCTCATATGAATTTTTTTATCTTAGTGGAACTCATAATATGTATCTCAAAGAAATTTTTGTATTTTATAGGATGAACTATTTAATATGGAGTATTTCTCACTAACAAGTTATAATGTCACTCATCATTATGATACCCTAATCGTATCAAGTCAAAATTATTTACTTATATTAACTGAATAATAATCTTTATGAAAATTTAGTTGCCTATCAAATCAATAATTGTCAACAAGAAAGAAAAAAAACAAAAAAACTACAACAAGATTTATAAATATATGATTTTTATTTTATAGAATCTTTTTTTTTATTTAGGCGTTTACTATATTAAACACACAATAATTGTAATAATCAAAACTCAGATTAAATTGTAGATGCCAATGTATTTGTGTTTGTTTACAATAGAAAAGCTGAACAATTAAAATCTTTATTAATCATAACATCATTAACTTCTATTATTACTTTTTTTGATCTTACTGATACATTAGTAATAATTACTGATTCAAATGTTCTTCCTAGGAAGTTTTTCTTTTGAATAGATGATCAATATCTATTTCTTTCTTTTTATCGATTCAAAATAGATTCAACAACTATCTTTAATATCTCAGAGATATTTGAATAAACATAAGTGATATGTCTTTCTTTTATTTGTTCTTTATATAATAGAAATTACAAGAACATTTTATTTTTATTTTTTTGGTGCTTTATAAATTGGATCATTAGGATTCAATTGTCTTGCACGAAGTTTCATAGCTGCTTCATTCACCTTCCAACCTTCCGGCTCATGTTTTGGACGAAAGAATTTATTGTTTGGACTTAGTTGGTTAGCATGATTATCCAAATGAGCTTGATGTTGTTTTTCTTCAGCTGTCTTTCCTTTCGGTGGCTATATATATATCATAAGAATAAATAATTAAATTAAACATAAAACTCAACTCTTACCATTTCAATACGATGATAATCGAAAAAAAAACAATATGTAAATATGACAAACAGAAGAAAATTTATTAGTTAATTTATATAATGTGTACGTTAAATTGTCAAGTAGACGAACTTTTTCTTATTGTATCTATTTCAATAAATTGCACTATTTTATATGTCTAGACATTAGAATAGAATTCAACTGCGTAATTATATTTTTATCCAATGCGTAGATAGAGATATTCTAATATGTATATATCTTTATTATATCGAACTACGCAATAAGAGGAACAGAAAAAAAAAGAAAATTCACGATATTTAAAAGTTCAACAAGTAGAAAAAGTAGATATGATCAGTATTCTAATGCATGATATCAAAAGGAAAGAAGTGATTAGTTATATATTAAAAATATTCCATAATGATATATTTAGCTATAATAAAGAAATAGAATTATACGTATATTTAAAAAAAGCTTTTAGCGTAATCTCTGTGGAATTAAAATGTAAAATATGATGTACCCGCTGCTGCTAATCATAAAGAAATTGGTTTCTTCTATTTATTCTTCAGCACTCATTGTAAATCGCGTTTCACAAAATTGATAGAACAATAATATAAACCTGTGAATAACAAAACAAATCAATGATATCTAGGTATTATTTATAAATCACCAATGTGTCTTATCTTATAATAATTATATCATTGATATGCCAATAAGTTCATCATAAAAGATCTGTTTCTTTTTTTTTTTTGATGAATATTTACGAGATGACATAGAGATATGTATGCTAGAATAAAACAGTTTTCAAAATTAGAACATTGTATCTATGTGATCATGATCGAATGAAATAAAAAATCGATAGTTGTTGTTTTTCTTTGAAAAGATAATTAAAATTTCAATGATTTTCTATATCAAATAAGAACAAAAATATGATTCGATTATATTATTCTCAATTTAAAAGTCTATTAGACCGCATGCTTTTCTTAAAATAATCATTTGACATTTGTTTTATCAGCTACATAGATACCAATATCACAGTGGGTCCTAATTTTCTGATTTAAGAGTGTTAAAAATCCAGAAAATCAAAATTATTCGACAAACGAGAACGAATCAAAACAATTTCAAAAACAAAATCATGAAAAATTAAGAGAGATGTGAAGATTAAGTATGCAAATATATTGTATTAGTTAGTACTAGTTTGAAATTTTTAATATGATTGATTCAAGTTTACTAACAAAAGCAACCATCCGACTGATAATCTCCGTTTGAGCTCATAGATATAGATAAAAATCCTGAAAGAATTCGTGCCATTCAACCTTTCTTCTTGAGTTATGTTCATTTTATTAAACTTTCAGCCTTTTATAATATTCTGAAAGTTTTAGCTCAAACAGATGCCTAAAAACTGGACTATTTTTTGGAGTTCTTGTATGAAAGCAATGTTTTTTTGCGAATGTATCATCTCAGAAGGAAAACATTCATTTGAACTGCAACTTTCAGAATACCATAAAGACCATGAAAGCTATTGTGGTTTTGGATAATTTTAGACCAAAACTCGTTGCTGCGATTTTTCTCCTTATCTCCTGCAATAAGCTAAAAGTTCAGTAAAATGATCATAACTCGAAAAGAAAGGCCTAGTGGTAAGAATCCTTATTTCCTTGTAAATCGATCAATTCTATTTCAGTTCATAATTTTCATTTTTAGGTACATGCCAAAATATAGGTATTCGTATGATTCAAATATCGTATCTATCGTTATACCTATAGCTGATTTATAAGCCTAATACAAACTAACAATACCAATAATTATAAAATATCTACACCCATTGTTGTTGCTTCGGTTCACATATCGCGGAATTTAAAATACTTCACTCCCTTCTATCAACATGAAAGTATATAGTCTCATTATTATTTATTACTAGTACATTTATTGATCTATATCATTGGATTTAAAATGATGTTGAATGAAGCTATTAATCATGTACATGGAACTCAACAGGATTCGCCATATTTGCTCACTAGAACAGATACTCAATAGAATACTTGCACGCTAGACTGTTTTCGACATCGGTCATGTCATTTTTTTTTCAAATAAAGTTAGAATTTATACTTCTCCATGCAATATCGCTCATTGTGTTCTATTGAAAATAAGATATAGTTATCAGTGACCATTACAGAAAACTTGTGAATTAAGATTTTGTACAAAAAATATCCAGAACGAACAAGAATTATGTTTTTTATTTAATGAAAATTTTCTATTAACTAGTCGTTTGTTAGAAGAAATCAACTTTAGCCACTCTTAATACTTGCCTATTTTGCAGAATTTTTTAGAAATACAATAGTAGATAAAAGTCGCCTACCGATCGTATCTCAGTTTCATTTAGTGGAAAGTTCTTTCATGAAATTTGTCGGTAATAACGCTTCACTATACACAAAACTTATGTACAAGTTTCAACTCGATTCACTAAACTGTAACTGAGTTATGATTTCCAAAAGCCAATAGATCATGTTTCTACACCCGAATAGTCATAGAGAAATGGTTACAACTCTAAGAAGAATTGATGAACTTCGATGAAGTTAATATAGTAGATAACCAGAAGCAAGAAAAAACGGACCAATCTATAACATATATAGTAGTCGAGATACGCGGGAATAGAAGGCATTTGTCCACTACTCTATAATTCAGTTTCATGCATAGTCCGCTTGTATTTATATTACCATGTACTAATCAATGGTCTATGAGACATGACCACTGTTATGACATGATTGTAAATAGTTTACAAGGGGTTATAATATCAGGACGTCTTTAATCTAAATAGCCTAGTAAAGTTATATTTGGTTTACATTGGTTTTTTTCTTTTTCTCATTCCTTTGATAAGAGGTCAAACATCTTGCGATTCTTTCTTCTCATGCAATCGAGAGACTCGATGTAGTAACAACACCATCGTCGTTATTACTGTCGTATATTTCTTTCTCTTTCCACATTTTAAGCACATTTACTTTCATACTTTTGTCAATTTCTGTCGACCAACAGAACACTGTTCACAAACTGAGTAGAACAAACATATATATATTACAATCCCGTACTGAAATGTAAGTTTCGCGTGTTTTTTTTGGATTACATTTTCAAATATAATTATCAAATGATATCTAAAAGATAAATGTAATAATAAATCTAAAGTTCTTTTTTTTCTTAAACGAGAATATTTTTCAAGAATAAATATATAGTGTCGTATTCTTTCGTATCGTTGCCTTATTTTATAAGCCCATTTTATGTTGTTACATGCGGACGTCTATAGTATGTATGTGTACATATTACGCATCCACTTACGATTGTGTAGTCAAGTAAGGACGTAAGTAGAGTGACACGTATTTTTTATTCGGTTTTATCAATGTCGACTGATTTTTTTTTTCTTTCTTTTTATTTTTTGCTCGAATATACTGAATTTTATCGTCTAATTTTAGATGACACCTCCAACAACACCGAATTATGGCGTTAAATTTCCATCACGTAAAGAAAGAACAGTCAAACGAGTTACGAAATGTGAAACACGAGAAATTCAAAAACGTATTGTTTTTTTTTCTTAATCTCAATATTTAATCTCTTTATTATTCAAGGTCTTGAACCACCACCACCACCAAAGCCTGTTCGTGTTCGTCCACCTCCAAAACCTAAAACACCGAAAACAAAATCCAAACCACCAGCTACACTTTCGAAACCAGTGAGACCTCCAAGTAATGCTTCATCACGTTCTAATGTACGTCCTACAACATCAAATTCATCGAAACAAAAAATACTTTCTACATCACGTACTTTACAAGCACCTGATTTAGAGAAATTAGCTCGTTTAAATTGTTCACGTGAATTTAGTCTTTTTCATCAATATATTAAATCTGATTTGTCAAAATCTTATGAAAATCAATTAGGATTTTTACAAACAAAATTACAACATTTAAAAAATGAATTTACTAATAAACAAGGTGAACATCTGAATTTTGAACAAATAAAAGAATATTATAATCAAGCTGTTCAAGATCATATACGGCGTCAAATTAAACCAGATGAATATGTAACATTAGCTGAAAAATTTCGACAAGATATAAAAGAAGTACAAAACAAAATAATAAAAATAATTTCTTTTTTTCCCTTTTAAATTTAAAATATTTCTTCTAGGCAATTGATAAATGGCTTCGCAAAAAAGAATTTAAACCACCTAAACAAGTAACAGAGTTTTTACAACGACGCCAAGAACGTATACGAGATCAAATCAAACAAACAATCGAAGAACAAAAAAAACAACAACAATTAGCTAAACAAGCTGAAAATACAACTGAAAGTAGTATTACAATAACATCAACAATAAAAGCTGAAATACCGACAACAGTAACAGTAGAAGATGACGATATAATGATAATTGATTAGTATATATTTACTTCCATCATTTGTGTTATTTTTTAATGATACAGGTTTAATTTTTATGTATGCATTTATTTAAAATAAATAAATCAATAAATAAATAAAATGAACATAAAAAGTCTAATGATGAAAAAAAACTTTACTCAAAGAAGTTTATCAACATATGAGATGAGCCATTCTTCGACATTTACTTTTGAAAAAACAAACACTAAAATCTACTCGTTCTCTTTTCATATGATAATAGAGCACTATTGTCTCGTCAAGTTGCATAAACAAAGAAGAAAAATTTTTATGAAGGTCAGAATTTCGCGTCTAGTTCTCTCTTATATTTGAAATTGATCGAAGCTTGAAATTTTTTGTAAAACTTCTTTTGATTTTAATTTAAAGCATACAGTTTCTCATGTAACTTGGCGAATCCTCTCCAATAATCTCGAAAAAAAGTAAAATGAATTCTGTCGGAATTTTGAATCTAGGTCGCATTACCATATACCGTAAATTCCTTAAAATTCAATTTCGTCTAATCTTTTTAACTTACAATACAAAGTCTTCTATTATAAGATAGCCAATGCTCAATGAGTATAATAAGCTTTGTTGCAAAAGCCTTTCCACAATGTGTCAGGTCAATTTTCATTCACTTATAAATCGTTCAAGAGAATCAAAATTAATCAGCTAGAACGAGAATTGTATACTCTTTCAAACTATTTGTTCAACATTTTTTTTCTGGCTTAAAGTTAATTCATTGTGAATAAACCTTGATGAAGGCCAAAAATACTATCATGTAGTTCAGTTTTATATTTTGATCACAGTTACCTCATTGTGCTGGATACCATGTGAAAAGTCCTATGAGGCAAATGAGACTCTTATGCGTCCCTATTCTTTATTCTTTTAATATCAGTTTTCTTCTAATATCTTAAATTCCGACTCCAAAACCAAAACTTCAAAACTAGTTTTCGTTTTTTGGAATGTGTCATTAGAAGTGTTGCGCAGATAATTTTTGTGATAATTCTTGTCAAACTCATTCATTATAATCATTTCTTCATGAGAAATAAAATATTTATCGATTAGTCTATTGTTCATAAAGAGTTACTTAACAGATTGAAGTATAATCATTTTTATTAGAAGTGACTTTAGAATTCAACACAAATCTGTATATATATATATTTTTTTTTGTTCAGTACTTTTTCTCAAATATATCCGAAAATATATAACTGTTTAACAATACTAAAATATTTTTCACGATGAATGTTAAAATCTGCATATTGACATAAAGTAATCAGATGAATTTATTTATAATAGACTTCTTTGTATCTGAATTGCAAAAAGAAAACATACACGATGAAGAGTACCAGTTTCATTGAGATAAATATTTTTCGTGTAGAAATAAATTAGAAAAAGACCAAAAAAGCTAAATCTAAGTTAACATGGAAACAATTTGGATAAAAAATTATAGTCATACAAGAGAAAACTGTACCTAGGATAAAGAAAACGGGATCTATTGACAATCCATATTTCTCTATATCATTTTCGAAGAAATATGATCATAATATTGAGCCATATAATATATCAATAAATAGGACTTGCGGTCATTTGCGACCGCGCTTGGTTGAGCTGGGGAAGCAAAAAACGAGCAAAAAAAGTGGAAAACATCAACAAGAACACGATTTTTTGTGCGTTTTTAAATATAAATGAAAAATAGACTAAAAAGTACAAGTTTTCGATATCTGTCTGCTTGGATAGGTCTTCTTTAATTGATTCGTGAAATATAATATTAAAGACATCTTTCATCGAAAATACACTTTTTTATATATAAAATTTTTCTATTCTTTTCTTTACAAATAAAAAGGTATTAAATTAATAAATCTTTTTTGTCTGATCATTTCATTTTTATTTACATGACATTATCAAGACATTTTTCTACTTCGTTTTTATTAGTAGCATGTAAAAAATACACAGACCAGACCAAGAAGAATACATCATAGGAATGTGCAAGCTGAAAAGAATCCATAGTCAGCCAGGAACTGGCCAGATCTATGAAAAGTCGACCTATTTAAACTTCTACTAGATTATAATATTTCTATACTACTTACAATGACATATAAAATATTTAAAAAGAACTAAGAAGATTCACAATAAGCTGCTCGGATAAGTTATTGTAAAAAAAAATAGTCAATCTATTGTCTTGACAAAATGCGACTTTCATTTTTTGTTTTTACTTCAGTCTGTATAAATGTCAATATCATTAGCAAAATTTGGTATTGGTAATTGATTTTGTCCGATTGCGCTTTCAAGTTCTTTCATGACACCTAGAACACGTTCATCGTCATTTGGCCAACCAACAAGTTGAACACCAATAGGTAATCCAGCCGATTGTCGACATGCATCTTTAGCTGCAGATACTGTCATATCATTATTTAAATGACCAATATCTTCATAATATTGTTCATCATCTCGAACTAATGTTACCGGTACAACACCAGCTGGTAAACTTAAAAGATTGAAAAGAAATGTATAAGTACATGAATGAAATAAATAACTAGATTGACCATGACGATATGCTGGTAAACCATTAACTGGTGTCTATTTAAAAAAAAAAAGAAATAATTTGTCTTTTTTTAAAATCTATAGTTTTTTTTTACTGACCAGTAGGAGATCGATATGATTTTTTCTAAGATCATCTAACCATTTTTTAATATATTTTTTCATATCAATAACTAAATCAAAATATTCATAGGCAGTTTTTGAACCAACAGATTGAATAATATGAGCATTACGTCGATCACCAAACATACGTATTAAATGAGCTACTAAAGGACGTAAAAAATTTGGAAGTTTAACAGCTTGAAGTACTAATTTATAAAGTGGATTTATTTGTTCATTTTCGAATGATTCAAGAAAATGACGATTACCATCAGCTCCAATAATTCCTACAAAAATACGTACAGCTTCTGGTATATCAATTGGTGTATATGGAATAACTCTATGACCAAGTTTACGAAGAACTTCAGCTGCTTCATTAACTGCTCGTATACAAGCAGGTGCAGGTGGAAACCAATTATCATTTGTGTAAAAACCAATTGTTAATCGTTTTTTATCCATAAAACGTTCATTTCGCCATGGTTGTCGAGCTACTTCAGGATCATTATACCACATATTTTCTTGTAAAAATGAACGCATAACAAGAACAAGATCATCAGTACATCGAGCTAATGGACCAACAGTTGGACGGATATTTGATTCACCTGTTTCATTTTTAACACTAGGGATAGCTACACCTACACCTGTAATACGTCCTGGTGTTGGTTTAAAACCAAATACACCACAAAAATGTGCAGGAATACGAATACTTCCACCAATATCTGTACCAATTCCTAATGGAGAACCACGAGCAGCTATTAAAGCTCCTTCACCACCTAGAAAATGAATAAGTTTGAATGTTATTGAATTTTCTTTTTTCGTTTTTTTTTTATAAGTTATTTACCACTACTACCACCTGGAGTACGTGTTAGATCAAAAGGATTGAGTGCTGTACCATATGTTTCACTTACAGTATCAGGTAACATCATTCCTTGTAGAGTTGCTGTACGTACAAAACCAGGAAATGCACCTTGTTCTTTAAGTAATTGAACAATAAGACTATCTTTTAATGCTGGTCGAAAATTTTTCATAGATATACCCATTGATGAATCTGCTCCTTGTTGATCAATTATATCTTTTAAACTAATTGGTATACCTTGAAGTAAAAATTCTTCTTGATAATTAGAATTATTTTCATCTAATTTTTGAGCATATTCAATAGCTTGATCAAAAAATTCTTCAGTAGTACAATAAAGTTCTTGTCCAATTTTAATTGTTCGAAGTGAAAGAACAAGTGTAACTTGTGTATAAGTAAAAATTTTTTTACGAAGACCATATAATAATTCAGTTGCTGTTGATTGAGAAATTTTTTCAACTATTGAACGATTAGGAAGATATGTTGAATATTTTGTTCGTAGAAGTTTTAATAATTCTTCTCGATGTTTATCACGTGCTATTCGTTTTTTTTCTGCACATTGACGTGCAATAGAATAATAATGTAATTTTTTAGATCGACATCGAAACCAATTAAGAATTATTAAACCTATTATTAAACTTATCGACCAATAACAAATCGTTAACATCTAGAATGACAACAAAGAATTACATATATATATAAATATATATATATTATTTTTTTTTTTCATAACAATGTTTCTATTGGATTGAATGGTTTAAATAAATAAAAAGAAGGATCACCATTATGAACAACAGCTGTTAAAGTGTTTGTTTGTTGTTCATTATAAATTTCTTCAAAATTAAATTCATCATTACCATTTTTTATTTTTATATAATAATCGGGTAAACCTGGTTGACTTTTACGAAAATGTTTTCTTGGTGTATACATATCGAAAAAAATATTTGATGATGATGATGATGATGATGATGATGATGGTTGTATAGCTTGATTTGAATGAGAGAAAAAAGATGATAAACGTTGATAAATTGTTCTATGAGATTGAAGATCAATTGAACGAAGAAGAGAATAAGATGGACGTATTGATAATTTATTATTTTGATAAATTGATAATTGAACATTAGAAACTTTCGAATTGAAATCCGATGGAAGCCAATCAATATGAACAGGTGATAATGTATCAGGAAATAATAAACGAGGATAATGTTTAATATCTATAGGAGGATCATCTGTATAATTTGGAAACCATTGCCGTCGGCAATCAGATGACAAATGAATCTATAAAAAAAACAAAAACATAATGTGATTATTTATAAATGATTACTATATATAAACTTTCCGTCGTACTTAAAGTATACTTGGAGCAAGGAGTACATGATCTTTTATACTATCTTTAAGTATAGATATCGATATTAAATAGTGATTTGCTATAATTATTGTTGCATTCAATTCGATTTATTATCCTACACTTATATAACATGTGTAATCAGGTATGTGAATGGTTACTTTCGATACTCTCAAAAGATTGATTTTATTTTATAATTTATTATTGATTTAACTATTAATCGAAAAAAGAATTGTGATTTTTCGGACGTTTCTTTTCTTCTACATTTTAATATAACATAAAATAACCTCTCTATTTGTGTATATCTATCAAAGACAGTTTCTTATATGAATTTTGCATCTCACAACTGATAACAATTAGAAATCTTTATTATGCGAACGTTTTAGAAATGTAATTTAGCCAATAAATAAAAGGAGTATATTTTATTCGGTTCAATGGCATTCTTCATTAGGAGTAGGCCATTTTTTTAAATTCGACTTAATTAAGTTAATTATGATTGCGTTCGACAAATATTATTTAATTTCGATTTTTTCTTTATCCCAATACGGACTTACTATGCTGATGTTCGGACTTTATATAAAGAAGACTCATGCTAACCCATGATCGACTCGAATAGCACTATGTTTTATCTTGCCATAACGGAGAAAAAAAGCCACTGAAATGTGATTAGTCGACTAGCTAGGTTTGAGCAAGCTATTTCTCTACTATTCGAAGGACAAAAGATACTATTGTTCAGACCATATGCGAAAGGACCCTAGACAGCGACCAGATTAGCAGGAACAATACCATAATGAATTCGTATTGAAGTAAAGAAAAACTCGAAATTAAATTATATTTGCCTAACGCAATCACTTAAAACTTAATTTTACGTTAAATTAAATAGTTTACCCTATTTCTCATCTATATATAAGTTCGAGTACGCTATGAAGTGCATTAAGTAGCATGAGTGTAACTAAAAATAGTAACTGAAATTGATCAGTGGATTATTTTACTCGCGAAAGCTTATCTTAATAAATCATAGTCTTCAAGAAGTTGGAGTACCTACGAACGCATCTTAGTGTTTCGTTACAATAAGTAATTTGACTTATCTTTCATACTGTTTTCTCAAGCATTAAAATTGTTCGATTTTATTCAATTCGTGTCACTATGATAGGAATATACTTTTTAGTAGTGCCATTCTATGGTGATGGTTCGGACAGGCTAAGTTGGATTCTAATAGAGTAAAAGGCGGGCTGGGCAGGCATGAGCAGTTCTCGACTCTTCACGAATCAGTCGAACTATCTAAAAGTGATCCGATTTCGAGACCTGTAAGGTATGACTTTTCATCCTCATCATCAAATTCAAATTCGATTAGTTCAGCCAAAAAAATATTGCATTAAATTAATTACATGAATAATGTATAAGATAAACTACTAGTTCATAATAGAGATGTCCATGGTGACGATGGAAATGTTTCAAAAATACTATCACGACAGTGGTAGCTTCTTATTGGGAGAGATTATAAAATTTGATGAATTTGTACCCAATTTAAGTGTCTACAAGTTCAACAGTCACAATCGTGGTGAATCTGATGGATTCAATCTAACTGTGCTAATTTAGCACAATGACGGAAGAAATTCTCGAAAACCGTCGCGACAGCGGCAGATTTCTACTTGCGATAAATATCTCTGATTTATAACACAGTAGTGATTAAAATAAAACATCATTTTCTAAATTACATTCGGATCATAGAAAATAAAACATTTTGAATTTATGATAATCTCTTTCATTTCAGATTTTTTGTAATTACCGGACAAATGTAATTTTCATTTTGAAGCTCGTTTTCAGATGATTCAATTAATTCTTGTTCATATTCATCTCGTTTTCGTTTAATACTCTTGATTTTTTTATTTGATAAATCTATTTTCGTTTCCATCATTGTTTCCGTTGATCGATGTCGAATTAATATAAATCCAATCCGTGTTAAATATTGATAAACATGTAGATGTTTAAGAGTTAATAATGATTGATTAAGCCATATTGAATAAGCTTCATTAAGTGATATAGGAATGTTTTGATTTTTATCGAAATTATTTATTGATACTTGTAATAATGAACATTGCATCATAAATATTGCTTCTTCAGGATAAAGATATAATTTCGAATTTTTCATTATACCTATTGTTAAAAAACATTTTGAAGCTGAACGATGTTGATAAATTATTTCAATCATATTTAATGATGAATTCCATATGCCATAGGATAATAATGATTTACGACATTGATATGGCAAAGATATTTTTGTTAAATGAGTATTAAGATCTGTTATTAATTGACGATGATGATTAGTCATCTGTAGATAAAATAAGAATATTTATCTAAATTAATTGTTAAGTTTTTTTTTTTTATTCTTGTATAAAAAATAAATTTAAATTTATTAGCAAAATAATTAAAGTTCATATCAATTTGATTTTTAAACAAAAAAACAAAGAAAAATAAAAATAAAAATAAAAATTAGTTCATCTATTTATATGTTGCAATTTGTGCAATATACATAATAAGAGTATCACCAGATCGAATTGGATCAGTTGGTGGTGGTATTTCTTTTAGAGGAGTATTTCTTGGACGAAATGAAACTACTGGATCTTTAGATCCAAATATATAATTATCATCAATCATATATCGATCAAAAGCATACCAATATTGACTTTTACGTTCGATACCTGTTTTTCTTTCTATCTAAAATATCAATTGAAATTTTTGTTCATTATAATACAGACATTAATATATTTCATATTAACAAACTTCTTCTTTTAATGTTCGAAGATTAGTACCAATAGGTACATAGATTGTTTTAATCAAAGGATCTCTATTTAAATGACATTCAATACGTAATGTTAGTCTAAATATTCAGAATCAAAAAAGCAGAAAAATTAATAATATAAACAAACTGAAGAACATTTCGTGATGCTGTAGCTTCGGTTTTATTTGTTGTAGTTTTGTTTTCTGTATCATCATTAGGATTGGTTAAATTAAATTGAAAATTAGCTTGAGATTTTGCTAAATATTGTGCAGCATGTTCAGCATCTGCACTAGAGCCTTGACCAATAAATCTTACGAGATCATGAACGGCCAATTCGATCTGTTCTATCATTTAGAAAATAAATGAATAATCGAGAAAAAAGAAATTAAAATAAACATTTATTTATGAAATTCTACTGATGAAAATTCGATACGTAAAAGACAGCTTTTAAAAATATTCACATGCTCATATATATAATTTTCTCTTCTATATCTTTGATATAGCTTAAATAACTTTCTTTTTTATTGATCCGATTTCATAAAAACGTGGACTAGCAGCTCTCTACGTGTTTACATAAATACAATTAAAATTATTCCATACAGCTAAAGACTTTGATATTATTGTTGGCTTGACGAATTTTATTTATCAATTAACATAATGCTCTTTTCAACCAAGTAAAAACTTTTTATTTATGAAACATAGGAAAGTGAACAACAAGAAATAACTGTACGTTGACTTTTTTTGTTGAGAACAGTCTAAAACCTTAATCCTTTCACTAGCTCATGTACACGAAGAGTGTAAGATATTGATGAAAAGAATGAATGTGCACTCTAAAAATTTAACATACTTATACAAGATGAGTGAAGCATCTTATCCTTTTGTATGTCGAAAATTGACTATTTATGCGTCTTACTTACGGAAGGAAGTTTACCAACTGATAAATCGTTTTTGAGTCAAGACTATGTGCGTTATGTAGATTCAAATAAACTATGAATATTCTAAAAAGAGTTCGTACTCTTAGCTTATTGTTACGGAGATATGACATGTTTATGGTATTTTTTAATGAATGTCTTGGTCTTCTTCAGGAAAACTAATTATCGAATTTCGATTGGAAACTTTGTACTGAGAAAGATCTTAACTTTTACTACGGTTGTATCCTGAGATAGGAACAACGAAAAGATCTGAAACTTTCACACGAAGTTATGCAAAGTTTCAAATCGAAATTCAAAAATAAATTTTCCTAAGATCCTTAAGTGGACCGTGATATCTAGTTAAAAAACTTCGTAAAAATGCAGTATCTACGCAGTAATAAGTTAAGAGTATCAACACTTTTTTCAAAAGATTCATAGCTCATTTGGATCTACATAACGCATATAGTCTTGACTCCAAAGAAATTTATCAGTTGAAACCTGTAAAATGTGAATGAATATTCGACATTGAACATTTTCGCAAACTATTTCTACGTAAGTTATAAGATTATCTAAAATCAATTGAATAGTAAATCTTTTTAAAATTAATATTAATAAACTACTGTATTGAAACCGTGACAAGTTTTACTTAAATGAATTTAGAAAACCTGATATATTCGAACATTGTAATTATAATTGAATAAAATCATATTATTAAATTACTCAAAGAATGATTCTTCTTTTATTTTATTTTTTTCAAAATATAATCATTAGTACCTGGTGTTGTTTGAATACGTCGTTGTGGAGATGGACTCGATGATTGTTTTCTAAGTCCTCAAATAGTCATAGATAAAAATAAGATCATTTATGATATAAAGAAATCAAAAAATATTTCATTCTTAAGATGTATACTTAAGTTCAATATTAAATTAATTCAATAAAAACAAGTTGTATTTGAGACATTTTTTTTTACAAGCAGAAAATTATTTTACCATTTTGTATTATTAATGGGATGTGACGAAGAAAAATCATTAGACGATAGATACAATTATTTTTCAATGAGAAAAAAAAAGATGAAAATTTTCTCAAAGCGACAAGATATCCATCAAAATGGTAACATGTTTTCTTATTTTGAAGATCAAAATCCTACTTTTTTATGCACAAAACAAATTTATCAATAACACATTAAGAATATATCTATCGTATTCAAAGCATACCTTTTTTAAGAAATGCTTCCATATCAGCAAAAAACTCACATAAGGCTCGTTCTTGTGAATTATAAAGAATAACAATTGTAATATATGATGTACTGATTGTTGCTACTCCGGTCGTAGAAGATTCATCAAGCCATTCAAAATGATCGAGTTCTTCCGATAGAATCGTCTAATAACAATCTCGATATTATTAAATTATATTATAAGAGTATCATACAAAAGTGAATACATTCTCCAAAAACAAAAAAAAACATTTCAATATAATTATTTTTGATTTCTACAAATGAAAATTCGTTCAAGTATATATTCAACGAACTGTACAGATTAGAAATCATTGAATAATTTAATCTTATTCTAATAGAAACTATGCCATTCTATGTCGAAATATTAGAAGAATAACAATCATATCTTATTCATTTGATAACCATTCTCTGTTTGAATAACACGAAAGGTATACCTGTTGATTTACAACAATTCGTAGATATGTTGTATTAGTCTCTGTATCTTTTGGCATGCCAATAGTAACATTTTCTTTATGTGTAATCGGATGATTTTTGTCTGACCATTGAATTCGAACCATTTTTACTGGAACATTACTTATAGAAATAAAAGAAATAAAAGAAATCAATGTTTTATTTTCTATTTTCTACCGAAATTTTGATGCCATATCTGAAAATATATGTATAAACACTATTATTTTACTTTAAAAGTAATAAAGAAAAGAAAGTTTATTTATCTACAAAATATCTTAGTAAAAAAATACATATTTATATGAATATTTAAGCATCATGTGGTGTTGCTCCAGTTCCGATTGTATTTCCAGGTGATCCTGGACCGTGTTGTGCATCCATTTCATCATCTGGTTCACCACCTTCACTTTCTTCTTCAGCTTCATCAGCATCTTCATCATCCTAGAGAAGGAAAAAAAAACACGGTGTCTTACACTTTTTTTTTTGATCTGTTATAATAAAAATTCTTACATCAGTATTATCCATTTCTGTTCTTCCATGAAATGGTAAATTTACACCTTAATTAAAATTTATTTTTACCAAATAAATTACAATTAAGAACAAATAAAAAAGAAAAAGATACCTTTTTCAATGTTATGTCGTCGTTCTTGTTCAAGTAATTCTTCAAATTTAGCTAAACTAAATTCTTCTCGTACTGGCAAAAAAAAAAAGAATACTCGATTAATTAGAAATTAACATAAGCAACATTATTTTCTACCAGGTTGTAATGGTCGAAACCATAATGAATTCACTTTTGATGTTTCAATAGTTGGCCAAAGATGTGAAGACATTTTTTTGTTCGTTTATATGAATATTTAAAAAAAAGATATACATACATTCATACATTCACAGAACATGATCAAACATTGGTATTCTAACCAATAAGAAAATAATATTGGTCCTCTATGTCAAATTGAAAATTAACTGTTTAGATCATATTCTACAAATATTTTTCATAAGTTCAAAAATTTTTTCAAATTAAAAAATCATACTTGGAAAAATCCCTGAAATAATATTGATGAGTCATATGTATTCTACCTTCTACAAATATTCTATTCAAATGAAATGAGTCTTCAAATTTGAAAAATGTCTTGTATTTATTTTCTATTAATTAATAAACAAAATACTCGACGTTCTTATCCAGATAGATTATTGATTGCACTATGGTAATTATGCATTACTTGATGTCGAAAATTCTTAATTTACAAAAAACTTGATTTATATAAGATTTGAATCCTGAGTGAACCATCCAGATGGAATTTATTGTTTATGATTAAATATACTATCATGTGTTCTATTTCATCAAACATTACGTGTATGTTTCGAGCTATTGAACTATAGCGATAGAGATTTAAGAAAGTTTCTCAAAAACAAATTGACTATGTGTGCTGTAAGAAAAAATTCAGAACCTTCATTCTGTGAACAATCAAGGCAAACATCATTTTCAAAATAATGTGGTAAGACTTTCGTGCTCACATTTTGATTGTGAAAGTGAAGACTATGTACTTTAATTATTAAAACATGTTTGAAAAAAAAATTGGTTTTTACCGATTAGAAATTTACCGACTTTAATGGACAAATAATTATTGTTCTCATTAAGGTTCTAAGAGAAAATTCAAAAAATATTTTACCTTAGCGAAGAAATAATGGATGATTGAAAAGTTTTTTAGACAAGATGGTTGTTTACTTTTGATATATTTCCGAGGAGGCAAAAGGTATGATAGAAATTTTGTCTCAGTTTTTTGTTCGACAGTAATGATGAATTTTGTGAAAAATCTGAAAACTTATTTTTAATGATTAGCCAATAGGTTTTTATTTACCATATAAGTTCCTTTTCGAACATGCGAAAAATCGTCGGATTCGATTGTTTTGTAAAGTGGACACTTCTCTACAAAATGTGATATTGAATAACCTTTACTCAAGCAGTTTTCAAGAGCTCCTTTAGTATCGAATCCAAACTAATTTTTTGGACTTTTCAAAGATTATTTTACTACTCTTGAACAAAAATTAACACAAAATTTCTATTATAACTTTTGATTCTATGGAAATATGTCAAAAGTAAACAAACATCTTATCTAAAGACTTTTCGATTACCCGTTAGAATATTGCAAAACTATTAATTCTCAATGATACAAGCACATTTTCTTTATTCAATTCATAATAACGTTTATAGAATAAATAACTCTGATCGAGTTCCGTTAGTGTCATTTTTAGTTATATTAATAAATAAAAAAATTTCATAATGTTCCATCATATATCTATGCAGAAGAAGAAAAAACAAATTTGAATTTTTTGAGAAGTAGCGCTTAAATTTTGATATTAAAGCTAAAATAGATGTCGAGTATGAGAATTATTTTAAAAAGAACTGTCAGCGCAATCTGTGTGGAACTAATATGTGAAATACGACGTAGATGTTATTTGCACCTTCAAGGAGAAAATTGTCCAAAATACTCTCTTCGGTCTGTAGGAGGAGGGCGTGGATCCAAATTTCTACGCCTATACTTCCGCTCTTCTTTTAGACCGTGTGTCACAAGAGTATTCCTTCTTCTTTGAAATTTAAACTTTTAATTAATCAAAAAGAATAAAAAACAAAATCTTAAAACCACTGCAATTCATGACTGACTTTTGCTTTGTAGATGTTACAATTAGATATGGACAACACTTTTTCATTGGGAGTAATATCTTTGATAGTCGTGTAATATTTCAATAAAATATCATATTTTCATGATTCATGTATTCTAAAAGTTTATGCGAACATTATTGAGTAACGATCATTTCAATATTTTCTGTTATAATTTTGATAGTAAAATTAATACTCTTTTTCGTAAACAATAGAGTTGTCAAACATATAAACGTGCAAAATAGATGAAGTATTAGTGAATTTAAAAAAGTAATGAATCTCCAAGATAGAGGATATTAGAGATCATGTGAGTCGTGCAAGATGTCTCGAGCTCATTGACATTGCTCGAAAATGACATTGCATTTTTCGCTAGTACACATGTATTACTAAGCGTGAAACCAAAACTAAAAACCATTGGTTCCGCTCATGACCATTTACAGTCCTGACCGGTATAATGAGAGTAAGACTCCACTTGCCGCACCGATTCGTCTATCTATTTCACCATTTTGTTTTCCATCATCCAAGAATTGAACATCTAGATACTTGAAATTGTTCACCTGGTTTACCAGGTTGTTATTCAAATGAGGTTACATTGATTGGATTCTCTTGAAGTCACCATTAGTTCCGTTTTCTTCACACTGATCTTCATACCATAAACTGAGCATACCGCTTGAAATCGATTGAGAGCACTTTGCAGGTTAGTTGCTGACGCTGCAAGACGAACAATATCGTCAGCAAAGAGAAGAGAGTCCACATTGACATCACCAATCCTGATACTTGTTCGAGATAACTTGTCCATAAATATGATAAATAATAATGGAGATAATACACATCCTTATCGGAGTCCAACTTACACCTGGAAATATCCTGATTTGCTACCATTTATTCGGATGTAGCTTTTGCACCTATTGTATAAAGATTGAATTGCTGATAATAGTCGACCTTGAATTCCGTATTCCTTTAATACTTTCCAAAGCATTTCACGTGGCACTTGATCGTAAGCTTTTCCCACGTCGATTAATAATGTGTGAATTGGTTTGGCGAATTCCTATGACTTTTCCAATATTTGTTGTAATGTGAATATTTGATCAGTTGTTTCTCTTCCTGCGCGGAAGCCACATTGTGTTTCTTGGATGTGTGGCTCAACGATATCTCGACATCTTCGTTCGATTATTCTAGTGAAGACTTTTCCAGAAAGGCTTAGCAGAGTGATTCTTCTGTAATTTGGGCATTCTTGCTGGTCTCCTTTCTTGAAGATTGGAACCACAATCCTAATCTTCCATGTCACTGAGGCTTTGCCAGTTTTCCAAACCGCACGATAGGTTCGAGTAAGCCAATGTATACTACCAGAATTGAGAGATTTTAAGATCTCTGGTCTAATTTCATCTGCTCTCGCCGCTTTACCGGATTTAAGTGATTTGATGGTTGTTGTGACTTCGCTTGTAGATATATCATTAGATTTGTTGTCGATTTGATTCACTTGATTTAGTATGTTGTCCTGATGTTGGGTTGTATAATTCTGCGAAGTATTCTTTCCACCGATTTGAAATATCTTCTTCTCGTTTCAGAAGCTGACCTGATGTGTCTTTCACCGAATGAATTGGTTTTGGTCCACCTTTATGAAGTCGTCGAATGGTTTGCCAGAATAATTTGTTAGCTGAGTGGTGGTTATGTTTTAATTGATGGCCAAAATTTTCCCATGACTTCGCTTTTGCTTCATACATCAGTTTCTTCGCTTTATCTCGTATCTATTTATAGTTCTGCCAGTTTTCAGTTGTTTGTTGTTGTATCCATTTATGATATGCTGTTTTCTTCTGTTCTTATTGAATTCCGACATGCTTCATTCCACATGTAGTGGTTGCAGCGTCTACTAGTGCTATTTTAAACAAATTTCATTCTGGTTCGACGTCGACCTCCGTTGATGGTAGCTAAGAGTATCGTTGATCGACTATTTTTGCAAAGCTTCGACTGGTTTCTTCATCAGCTAATGCTTCCTATCTTATTCTGAAATTTTTCTTCGGTTTAATTTTTCGTATTGGATCATTCGATGATAATTCTAAAATAGAAACAACGCGGTGATGGTTCGTTGCGAGTTCTGCACTACGTTTGACTCGCACATCCCTCACTGCACGTCGTAAACTGCCAGATACAATGATGAAGTCGATCAGTGAACGTTGTGCCATTGAATTTCCCGTCTTATACCATGTATATTTGTGGATGTTCTTGTTCTAGAAAAATGTGTTCATTATTGATGAACAACCGCTTGCACAGAAATTCAGCAGTTGTCATCCTTGGTTATTCAGACCTCTGTCACCATTTCGTCTAATAACACCGTTCCATGTTTGCGAGTCGTTTCCAACATGTGCATTGAGATCTCCAATTAATAATAACGAATCTGTTTTCGAGACACTTTCCATAGCTGCAAGAACCATATCAAGAAATGTCTCGTAATCTGTTTCAATATTTGGTGCATACACTTGAATAATTGTTAATTTTGTTTTCTTTAATTGGAGTTTTATAAGGGCGACTCTTTCATTGATTGGTTTTCAATACAGGACGGTACTGCCATCCATTGTTCAGAATAAACGTTCCTTTGCCTTTTCGTTTCGTTGATGAATTTCCAAATATATCTAGTTGATATTTTTTCGCTTCTTCGGTTAATTCAACTTCCTTGGCAATGATTGATGTTATATTCCATGTGCCAATATTCATTTTGCATTGATGTGGACGATTACGATGTTTGGGTATACTGAACGTGCCGTTTAGGCATTGTGCCAGCCTCTCACGTTTCCTAGGACAGTTGGCGAAACTATCGCTAGTCGTTTCTTAATGTTGAATAGTTGATCCCCGTAACTTTTTCGAGTTGATCTCGGTCAATCTATGGGTACCAGTGATCGATCGACTACCAGACGCTCGCATATGAGCTCTGCCCCTAGGTCTGATTCCAGGGACATGCCCCGGTATCCCACTTCCAGACGAGGTACGAATATTTTTTGTTGTATTCATCATGAGAGATTTGTAGAGGCTCTTTAGCGTTATTCAGGAAACACTACGTGGAGGAGAGCTTGACTTGTTTCCCAAGCATAATTCCTTTTCTCTTTTGTATTTAGTGTTGTAAATAAATAATATTCGAGTCAGAATGAATGATAATAAATGAACGATAGAAAACAATTGTTATACATATTTATGAATCAACGACCATACAGGAACTACTATGAACTATTGTAAAAAAAAATAAATGTATATTTTTTTTCATCTAATCTGAATATTTTCTTCTATCAATATTTCAAATATATTGATAAATTTCCATTCTCAATTCAATGTTTTCTTTTTTTTTTCAGTCATGAACTTTTTAGTTGATGAAAATGCATCGATAAATGATTTAAATATTTATCTTGATGTAATTTTTTTTTATTCATAATTTAACAATGAAACGAAAGAAATTATTTTTCTTTGTATTTATTTTTGAATAGGTTTTTTGATAAAATTAAAACATATTGATGATAAATTATTGTGAGAGAGAATATAAAATCATTGGCAAATAAATTAGATTTTCCATTTTAGATAAAATGACTAGTGTAGGATATGGTACTGGTACTATTAAATTCGTACCGAATAATAAACAGAGTCCTTCACTGAATTATTCACAGAGATCACTGATCGAAGTACTTCAATTGGATATTGGTGGTTATTCATTGCGAGCATGTGATCTAGATAATAAGAAAGAAGTATAAAATTGTTGAATATAATGATTAATTAAATATTGTCTTGTAGAAAATCTTCGATTTTCAATTTAAAAACTCTGATTTCTACAAATTTGCACATTCACCTAATCAGCGAGATGAAATTCGTCATAATGATGGCACTTATTATGTATCTTTAAACCAGCACGCACGTACTCAGTTTCACAAAGCACTACGCCAATGTTTCGAGCTATTGGAGAGTAAGAACCAACAATCAGCAGATGTCGATTCAGGTAGATCATCTGAGAACAAAACATCAACTGGATTATCGGACACAAGAACCAATGTCAACGAAAAAAGTTAGATCTTTTTATTTTAGTTATTAGTGTGTATAAAATATAGACGGAATAGTACTAATCTTTAATTGACGATGATCTTATTTTTCCTATGCACAAGAAAAAATTCTTTTTGTGTGTTGGTTTCTTTCTTAAGAAATCTTCCATTGAGTTTATCATCTATGGCCTGTACACGCTGTTTGAATCCAAATGCCCCGGTCACCATCTGCAAATGAAATGTTTCCTAATGGAATTGATTTTTGTTTCTCAAAAATCGATCGTGGGTCAAATACATTCAAATTACATGAAAATTTTGAGACTATATTGCGGCTACACTGAAGGGGCTTTACTAAAAATTTCAACCCTATATCATGATGTTTTCGAGAAATAAACAGGAATCAAAAAGAGTTCATTGGACAACTCAAAACACTCTGTGAGCTGTCATTCTATAGATTTATTATTATTTTTTTATTTATAAGAGTATGTCAGACTGTAGCATCCTTTGGTTTTTTTTTACTTCTTACTTTCCATGCAAAGAAAAAGGATGATAAGTTCGATATTTCGAAAAATTGTCATCTATTTATAGAAGTGCTTTTTTATATAATAATAACAAAAAAGCTAAATTCAAAAAAAAAACAAGCATTGCAGCTTTACGTGTTCTTTCAAACAAAGAAGGAAAACAATTGGTTACAATGCAACTCTTTCGAAAATTCTGGAATGCGCATTTAGAAGTGTATAAGCAGGAAGAAAAACAAACATCTCTCAATTTTTATGACGAAAATTGACTTTTTTGAAAGGATGAGCTTAATAGAAAAATATGACACAAAGTTTAATGTTAAAATTAGAAAAAAACTCTCGAATATAAGAACTAATATCTCACCCGATGAAAGAATAGTTTAAATCTTCATAGTCATTTTCTTATTTGATGTTGTAGCTATTTTCGTCGAAATTCACAATTTGAGTGAATATATTCAACACGGTGAAGCTAATAAAGCTGATGAATTGATTAAGAAATTAATAAAGAGCGGTGTTCAACTTCAAGTTAAACATTTAAAAGAACCATTAGATGAACAAACATTTCCGTATGCAAATATTCATTTTTATTCTTCTTCGTTTTGAGTCCTGTTTCATAATATAGAATTCGAATTAAAATTGATGGTTTTGATTCAGACATAACAGATTTAAACAAATTTTTTGATGTCGATGTTTATCCATCAACCACAGTTCATGAATTACGAGCATTTGTAAGTAAACAAATAAAAGGAGAGAAATCACTAAGTGATATAATCAACCTCCATCTTGCAATCGAGTTTATTATTTCTCCAATAGTGAATTCAAATGGTAGAAGTCAATTGCCATTCGAATTAGACAGTTAGATCTCAATCTAGCTGCGTGTGGCTGACTCAAAACTCGGTATTATCGATCTCCTATATATTGAATGAAAGTTTTTTCTTTACTTCATCGAATAGCATATAGGAATATGACAAAATAGGGTTCTTTTCTTGTTACTTTTAGAAGACATTGTTCGCTTGTATGCACAATATGTGGACATCTATGACAGAACTTCCTTACTATCGAGCTTTCAAAGCTCTACAAAATGATACTATTACGTTGAGTTTAATTTGTGGCCGAGACAATTCAGTCACATGCTCAATGTACATGAGCATCAAAAATTGCCATCTTTGACTAATATTTAATCGGTTATAGTTAAAATAATCAGGTTTTCTATCAAAATAAATGATATATTTCGAATCGGCATAAAAAACTGAGTCAATCTGTATGTGTTACAAAATCTTCTGACGACTTTTACTTTTTTCCAAAAACTCAGTTGCAGTCCCCCTCGGAGCTACGTCGAAAAATAAAGTCAGTCAAAACGTCAGTTTGACTGTGAAAAGTAACTTCTAAATTTTTAAAGATCTCGGAAAATCCAAAATGACAGATGAATAAATAATAAAAACAATATTTTGACTAACTCTATTTTTCGATATAATCATGAGGGAATCACTACTGAATTTTTAGAAGAAAATAAAAGTTGTCAGAGGATTTTCTAACACAAATAGATCGACCAAGTCTTTTATGCGGATTTCAAATATATCATATGTTTGGATAGAAAGCCTGATTATTCTGATCGAAATTCAGTCAAAAGGAGCAACTTTTGGTACTTATGAATAGAGGTATAAGCCGAAGGATCGAACGGCGACGGCTATAATTGCTTCAATTTTTTTTTATAGCGGTGATGCCGACTAATATTTATAAGTCCTTCTGCGGCGGCTTAGCCGTACTGATTACACCTCTACTTATGAACATTGTGCAGTCGACTGAATCGTCTTAGTCACAAGTTAAGCTCAACGTAATATTATCATTTTGTAGAGCTTTCAAAAGTCTATCTAATGATATATAATTCAATGTAAATCTTAGTTTTCACAACCCAATAGTGAGAGAGTTTTCTCATAGATGTCCACATATTGTACATACAAGCGAAAAATGTCATCTAAAAGTAAAAGGAAAAGAGTTCTATACCTATTCAATAGAGTAACAAAAGAACTTTCATTTAATATATTGGAGATCGATAATACCGAGTTTTGAGTAAGTCGCACTCAGCCAGATTGATGTCTAACTATCGAATTTTAACAGTAATTGATTTCTAACGTTCAAATTGTCTATTGGAGAAATAATAAGTTGAATTCCGAGAGAAGATCGATTACATCGCTTAATGACTCTCTTTCTTTATTTTATTCTATTAATAGTTTGAATACACACTTAAATTTCCATTGGCAAATCAATATTTTTTTGTTAATGGTCATTTAGCTCATGCAGAATCAACAATGAATGATTTAAAAGTTAAAAATGGTTCACTATTTGTTTTATTTTTAATTAAAAAATAGTAATCAAATATTGCAAAATTAAAAATTTTTTTTTTAAACTGAACTTCATTTCAAAAATATTTAATTGTAATATTAGAAAGCTGTTTTAAAATAAACTTATAAATTTCTTTTATGATTACAGATAAAATGAGTCTTATAGGATATAGTACTGGGTATATTCAATTCATACCAAATAATGATGATATTCCAGAATGTAATTATTCTGAACGATCATTAGTTCAATTACATTATCATGATAATAATAGTTATTCATTGAACGCAATTGATATAGAAAATAATAGAACAGTATAAAAAGTTATTTGATTTATTGTTTAATTATATTAAATCTTTCTTTTTTCTTTTCTTCATAGGAAATTTTTAATCTTCTTCTAATAGAGGATGATCAATATAAATTTGGATTATCAGATGATGAACCTGATGAAATTAAAGATTCGAATGGAATTTATCGTTTATGGTTAAATGAAGATTCACGTAATTTATTTCATGAAACAGTGCGTGCAGTTTGTGAAATATTATTATCTGTTGAATTAACAGATACAAGTCCAGAACGTGTTGATGATAGTTCTATTCACATCAATTTTAATGAAATGAGTAAACCTGACATTCCAAATCCAATAAATTGTGAGCCAAAAGGTAAGTGCTTTAGAATTTTTTCTTATTTTCTCTAATGAATTTAAAAATAGAATGATAATATCAACAGAAAAAATAAAATCGAATATATTTGATCTATGTCCAATGTAAAAGTAAATTGTAATCATACGGATATAGATTAGAATATCGTTTTATTAGACTAAAATCTTCTCTAGAAAATATGATACTATAAAAACCACTTATACAATTGGATTGATATCAAAACTCTTTATGAGTTTCGATTAGTTTATTTTGGTCTTATGAAATTTATGAATAATAATTGTTAGTCTCATTTATTCAATGCAACAAAAGCATTTTTAGTATTCATTATAAAAGGTTCAATGTCAACTCATCGTCACGCATCACTACTAACGAGGTAAGTTCTCCAACGAGATTAATCGCTTTTAAGCCGGAAGTATGTGCATCATGTATACTCTAATGGGTTATGAATAACTCGAGAAAAGTTCAGACTAGAATCCGTCAGGTTTGTCCCGAAACTGGGTTTGGATGCGAAAATTTTGGGCTTGACGGACTCTAGTTTAGGCCTATGATTTATTGCTGTTGACATATTGCATGTTTACAGTATTTTTCAAATAGAATGCCGTGATCTCCTCAGGAATACCAAGAAAACTAATTTTAGAATTTCGACATGAAAGTTTCAAGTATTTTCGTTGTTCCTATCTCAAGATATAGCCATGATAAAAGTGCATCTTTCATATAGGTCATATATACCCGCAAATTCGATGTTCTTATTTTAGACAAAAAAAACAGATTAAATGATCTAATACTTTCATAATTAACTATTCCCGTTAAGGGTTGTTTCTATGCAAAGCTTCAAGTCGAAATTCAAAAATCAATTTTTGTGAGCTTTTCGAGTTATTCATAACTCATTAGGTTATACATAATTCACATGCTTTCGGTTGAAAAGCAATTAATCAGTTAGGAAATTTTCCTCGTAAGATATCGTTGAAGACAAGCTTCTTCTCATTATTGTACACAACATACACTGTCTAATATTAACAATGATGCTTGAAGTATCAATTGTTAATTAACTAATAATTATCGTCATGATTACATTTCTAGTGCAAGGCTTTTGATGAATAACAATTATTCTAGTTGATCAGAGATGTTGACTGATTGATCCATTTCATATCAATCTGTAATATGTTAGCAGATTCATCCTAGAAGAAGTTACGGTATATCTTCTAGGACAGATGATGGTTTTGTTCTAAAGCCATGAATTCGATCTGGCAGAAGAATATTCATGTATCACGATTTTTCGCTTGAAAGTCACATTTCTAACGTAATGAGTAAAGTTATATCACGATGAGTTTATGCTTTTCGTAGAGCTCACATGTCCTTATTCTTTATTACATTAACATCATGTAAAAATATTTTTTATTACTATTTTGATTCAGATTTTTTTTTACTTCTATTGTTACTAAAAATCAACTTGTACAACAATGATTTATCATGTTGCTTAAAAAAATTAACTATTTTATTTACTTTTCCATATATTTTCTGAAAATCAAATATATAATATACGATGAACGATGATACAAATTCACAATAGTTATATAATTATGTAATCTCAAATTAAAATGACTTGTAAAGTTTATTGTTCAAGACTATATTACTAAATTCTTAATCTATTGCACGATCTGATCAAGAAAAAAGAAGTTTTCATAAACATTTTTGATTTTAGATATTCTTACCAATATTTGTAATTTGAGTAAATCTATACAACAAGGTAATGCTAATGAAGCTGCTCAAATGGCTAAACAACTTGCTTCACAAAGTATTCGACTTCAAGGAAACTCAGTAACACGATTAAAAAATGAAGATAAATTTCGGTAAGATAATAATTTAATTTCTTATTGTTATTGATTTTATTTTTATAATAGAATTCTTGTTCAATTCGATGGTGATGAATATAGTGTTGATCAACATGGTGGAATTATTTCTGTTGATATTTTTCCATCAACAACAGTTCGAGAATTACGTGCAGCTGTATATTAAAGAAAAGATTTTTGTTTTTTGATTAAAAATAAATTTTTGATTCTTTCTAGTTTGAACTTACATATCATTATTCACCATTTAATCAATATTTTTTCGTCAATGGTAATTTAGTTCATGATAATTCTACTATGAGAGATTTACAAGTTGGACCAAATTCATTATTTGTTTTATTTTTATTAGAACATTCAAAAAAATTTAAGAATAATGTAAGTTTATTTTTATTT